CATGCAAGGTGAGGTGTTCTGCTTCTGGCTTCCCCTGGTTCTGGGCCCACATGTGGCACAGGGAAAGGAGCAGATGGCCAGGGTGCTCAGGTGAAGGGCCAATGTTCTTGCTTCGCCTTGGCAACCATTTAGCTTCATAGCTCTGGCTTCTTTATTTGTGAGATGGTGATGCTAATGACCACCCGTGGAGTCCTTATAGGAAGTTAATAGGAGTATGTATTTGTAAGTTATCAAATGCTAAACAAATATAAGGGGGCCATTATTGTTTTAAAGTATCTACTGCTAACAAACGTGAAAAAAAATGTGTGGAAGATCAGTGGATAAATACTCCCAAATATGGAAAGAAAAGTTTATTAAACCAAGGATGGCAAACTTTTTCTTAAAGGGCCAGTTAACAAATAGGTGTAGCTTCGTGGGGCCGTATGGGCTTGGTCACAGCTGCGGAACCTGGCGCTGTGAGGTGAAATCAGCCCTAGACAATATGTGCATGAACAGGTGCGGCTGTGTTTCAGGGCTTGAACTTTATAAAACTAGTGTTGGGTTGTAATTTGCCGAGCACTGTTTCATGCCATTACTTGAGTGAGTGGGGTATATGTCCACATGCACATCCACACACACACACAAGTTGTGTTTTGTATCTTAGATAGTATTCCAGGGGAATCACTTTTAGAGAACAGTCTTGGGGTAGGGGAAAACTAAATATGTATACCTTGATTGTATGGTCAATAACCTCCCAAAAAGATGTGGAAAAATCGAATATGAGCAGACTCGCCATCTGGTAGACCTGACTTTTTCTGAGCAGACATTTCAGCCTTGGCCTTGAATTGCCATGTGGGTGGTTTTGATGCTATTGCTGTGTCCAGGTATTGCTGGATGGTCTGTCTATGCATCTGATTCCCTTTGCTTATTTCGTTGCTTCCTTTGCCCTGTAGGTATTTGTGTTTGTGGCACAGAGTATTCGTATTCTCAATAACCTAGATGTGGGTTAAGTAATTAAGTAAATATGTATTATATAGATTGTTTGCTTTACTCATATACTTAATGGAGTATTTTTCAGGGACTATCTATAAGTGACCTCAGTCAGCTTTTCCCTCTCCTTTGACTTTCCTGGATGTGGGTGCGTGTCTCCTTCCACTGAAGTATAAACAGCCAGTAATGGCTTAGATTGTTTATAACTTGGCTTCCTGTGTATACCTCATGGTCAGGTCCTGCAGCCACGTGGAAGGTTGTATTTGCACAAGTTTAGTGCACACAAAAGGGACACCTTGTTTATTCACATCAGTGTCTTACTCTTAAGATCCTTGGTGACTAGAAGAGATTTTCTTTTTTAACTGGTTGACTCATCTCATCTAATATTTACCCATATCCTGCTGCATTTTAATAAATTTGCGTTCTTGCAGACAAGACATCCTCATCTAAAGAGAATGCAAGGCACGTACAGAGGACCATTGAACAACGTGGGTTTGAACTGTGCGGGGTCCACTTACACGAGGATTTTTTTCAATAACTATCTGAACTGGTTTTCTTCTGCGTTAGGAATTTGTGGTTGCGGGAGGCTAACTGTGTGCGTTGGTGCCATTTTATACAGGGTTCTTGAGCATCTGTGGATTTTGGTATCCATAAGGGGACCTGGAATCACTGTACTGTGGACACTGAGGGACAACTGGTATAGTTAAATTTGGGGGAGATCAAAAGTTATGCTTGGATTTTCAACCGCATTGTGGGGGTCGGTACCCCTGACTCTCCCCTGTTGTTTAAGGTCAACTGTATCACCTTCCTGTAAAGTTTAAATTAGCAAGATAGAATGTAAATACCACGGAGGACTCACTGTCATCACACACGCACACACCAGACCCACTTATCTGGAAGGCAGTGGTGGGAGTTGCGTGAGAGATGACTCATCTTACATTCATTTTCACATCACGATGTTAATGCTGTATTTCTGAATATTTGTATGTGATTAGACAGTTTGTCATAGTAACACTTTTTAGTATCGATGCTGTTCAGAATTACTTGTCTTTTCTTGAGTATGTCTTTGGAAACAAGTTGTTTAAGGTTGTTAAAACCAATGCTTAGTAGATAAAAGATGGTAGACCCGCATGACTGGAATATGACTCGGCAATGAAAGGGAATGGAGTGTTTATACAGATGACAGCTTGGATGGATTTCGAGGAATTGTGCCTCGAAAGATGCCAGTGAAAGATGCCAGTGTCTTTCATATATTCATGTACCGTATGAATCCGTTTGGGTGATATTCTGGAAAAGGTGAAACTGTACGATGACAGCAGACCAGTGGTTGCATGAGTTAGGGGCGGGAGGACGGCGTGACCACGGCGGGGTAGCGGGAAGGAATTTTGGGGGGTGATAGAACTGTGCTCTGTCATGATTGTGGTGGTGGTTACACAAGTGTGTGCCTGGGTTGAAAGTCATCACACTATAGTGACACGTGAACGAAGTCAATTTTACTATGTTATTTTTAACGTAAACATTTAAAAAACTCGGAATGCTTGATTACGCTTCTCGAGAACCCAGAGAAACATTCTAATGAAAGTGGAACAGCAGGGCTTCCTG